AAACTTCACACGTGTCAAATACGTGAGCCAATCACAGCCCAAGGATTCCTACAATGCGAAATTCATATAACGAGGAACGTATCTTCGCATTATAGGTGGGTCTACTGTATATAAAGTTCTAGCTTCTGCGATGTTTCTATTAATACATGCTTAATTTCATATATAAAGTGCACCAGAAAAATTTTTCCCATTTTACAGTGTGCTGTGAACCAATAAAGTTTAAGAATGTTGCTCTAGAAAAACAAACACATTCCATGCATATCTAATTTTTATGCAGATTTTTCCTCTGTATATTACTTACACATTTCAATATTTTAAAAATATCTTTGAAACATAATATATTTACACTAGGAGAGAAACAGACTTATATATTAACTTTAACGTTTTTCAATCCCTCATTTTCTGCATTAATAAAAACAAAACAGTCTATAAAACAGAAACCAGCTTAAATGAAAAATTCTGGTCAGTATCACCATGTTCCATTTTAGAATTTACAGTATTACTGTATGATTTCATAAATTAAGAAAATTAATATATAAAGGCTATTGGATATTATAATTTTGGTATTTGATTATTCTGAAAAGGCACGATTTTTATCTAAGAAAATAAAANTTGTTTTTAACAACTTTTACCTATTAAGACTTAATAATTCTTGTACCAATAAGTTTCAATTTTCATAATTAATGTAATCTGAACATCAGTAATCTTTTAAATACAGCCAGGCAGTTGTAATTTTATATTGGGTAATTTTCAATGTTATTTCCCTATGTCTCACTTTTTTTTTGGACTACACGTATAGTGCCTATCAGAGTAAAAAAATGTGTGTGTAGAATGCACACTGTAGAACATAGGGGTAGTGAAAATATTTAGAGGGGGCCACAAAATTGAATTGTGCCTGGGGCCTCTCAAGTGCTAAATCTGCCACTGTTTGTGTATACATTTCTCTATTGTACAAGTGCATGCTGGAGAGATTTTAATAAAAATGCAATGATGATTACAGTTGAGGTTTACAAATTTTTGAAAATTTCTGCACAATATTAATAATTATTATTTTCTGTAATAAGAAAGAGAGCCTCGCGCAAGTGTAAAAGTGTAATGTTGTATAATCAGAATTAAGTAGCAGAGTGTTTGCAAACATGACGGCTTCAAAATGAGGCACTGATGGATACAAAGCAATTACACTTCTTCATACTTCATACATAAAAAACACTTCTTCATACTATTGAATACAAGAACTTTATGGTTAAACAAAAAGCTCAGCTTTGGTTCTTGCTGAAGTGTTGTAAAAAAGTCTTATCCCCAAATGCATTGCATCGCTCTTAAGTACAACTCATTTCCTTCAGAAGTACAAACCCTGTTGCCTTGATTGGAAAGAAATCTCCTAGCAAAATTAATTAAGAGCAAACACAAAGCCATAGAAGAAGAAGAAAAAGTGTACCTGGCCCATCTCATCTTTGATAAACAGTGTGAAGCAACAATGCTATACCAACAACTGGATAAAATAAGAAACATAGCCTAAGAATAAACGACTTCCAACAACTTAACACTGTGTTTTCTAATAACAACCCACGAAAAACCTTTTTTACGAGTATTATGTCACTATTAAATTCCCCAAGTACTTTCGACCTCCACCGAGGTCTGCTTCAGGTGGTGACTGGCCGTGTTTTGACCCGACCGTCGTAACGATGTTGCCAACGATGTAAATAAATAAACGTGCGTGTCGGGTTTCACCCCTCCGACCGCTATTGCTCGAACTCCTCGAATAAATACTTCCACGCCTGTGCAAGTGTTTCCCCATCCCTGTAGTTGATGCAGTTGCCCCCCATGATAGCTTTGTGAATCTCCCAGGTCTCCAGGTGACGGATGTGATCAGCGCGGAATGCGAGTCTGATAAGTTTGGTGTTCCGGAAGTCCGCCCTTATTTCCGGGTCGGTGACATAGGTCGATAAGGCAGTGGTGTGCCTTTTATGCTTAATATCAGCCTGGTGTTCCCGTATTCGTTTCTGTGTTGATCGGATGGTGGAGCCAATGTAAACTAAGTCTCTATTGAATCTGTCGTCCCGTACGGGAATGGAGTAAACACCTGGGGCTCTGGTGAGATCCATTGCGTCCTTCGCGTTGCGCAGCAAGTCGTAAAGCGTGCCGGTTCTTAAGTACGCGATTTTGGTGCGGCTGTTGCTAGCGATCTCTCTATATAGGGGGTCTAGATGCCGGTTGAAGCGGACGACCGCGCGTCTCGCGTTCCCATCCGCCTGACGGTTGTCGTCCGGCGGTGGTGGGGGCAGTCCCTGTGGCCAGGGGGGCGGCGGGCGCATGCACGTGCTAAACCGCGAACCAAGGCTTTACTATAACCACGTTCCTCGGCAATTTTTTCTATGCGTCGGATCTCCGACCACGCGTCGTGCACATGTGTGTGGTGCGTGAAGGCCTGTCTAGTAAGGGCCCGGAAAGCCGCCATTTTGTAGATAAAGGGGTCAGAGGAGCTCGCGGGGATGAACAGCGGGAGTTGGTCAGGTTTATGATAGACGCTCGTTTCAATCTTGCCCCCCCTGAGACGGATGTTTAGCACGTGCATGCGCCCGCCGCCCCCCTGGCCGCAGGGACTGCCCCCACCACCGCCGGATGACAACCGTCAGGCGGATGGGAACGCGAGACGCGCGGTCGTCCGCTTCAACCGGCATCTAGACCCCCTATATAGAGAGATCGCTAGCAACAGCCGCACCAAAATTGCGTACTTAAGAACCGGCACGCTTTACGACTTGCTGCGCAACGCGAAGGACGCAATGGATCTCACCAGAGCCCCAGGTGTTTACTCCATTCCCGTATGGGACGACAGATTCAATAGAGACTTAGTTTACATTGGCTCCACCATCCGATCAACACAGAAACGAATACGGGAACACCAGGCTGATATTAAGCATAAAAGGCACACCACTGCCTTATCGACCTATGTCACCGACCCGGAAATAAGGGCGGACTTCCGGAACACCAAACTTATCAGACCCGCGTTCCGCGCTGATCACATCCGTCACCTGGAGACCTGGGAGATTCACAAAGCTATCATGGGGGGCAAGTGCATCAACTACAGGGATGGGGAAACACTTGCACAGGCGTGGAAGTATTTATTCGAGGAGTTCGAGCAACAGCGGTCGGAGGGGTGAAACCCGACGCGCACGTTTATTTATTTACATCGTTGGCAACATCGTTACGACGGTCGGGTCAAAACACGGCCAGTCACCACCTGAAGCAGACCTCGGTGGAGGTCGAAAGTACTTGTGGAATTTAATAGTGACATAACACTCGTAAAAAAGGTTTTTCGTGGGTTGTTATTAGAAACATAGCCAACAAAAAGGTACATGAAATCAGGAAGAAACTGAACAAAAAATTCAATTGGTTACAAAAACCATCTTGCTGAAAACACACCAAAACTATAAAGGTTCTGTACTACAACTTCACAAGTATAAAGATACTGGAAAATATTTATCAAACATTAATACAGAGGTCGAAACACATACCAACTCCTAGGTTTAATTACTCACAATTCATTCCTCCCATTATGGTGGCCATAAAGAACACCTGCTGTCCAGAGTTACAACCCAATTTGGAGCTGTCTACAATAACCAACATAGCAACACAACAATGTTCGAAAACCAAGAAATCAAATATGAAGATTGCTCAGACAGTAAAGACATTCCTCACATCCAATCATTTAAATCTACTAGTAGCAGATAAAGACAAAAGATTTGTATTATGCAAAAACCAAGATTTCCTAACAAGAGCCAACAATTTCCTTGACCAATCCAAATCAATCACACTAAAACAGGATCCAACTACAACAGTATTAAGAAAGACACACAAACTTATAGCACTTCCAGGGATCATAACCTCTTTAACAGGTCCTCTCAATCCACCAACCAATGTTGTGTGCCCCAGATTATTCTTTCAAGCAAAGACGCATAAACCCAATTGGTCTTTAAGACCTTTAGTCAACAAGTGCTCACACCCTACATATTATTTAGAAACTGCACTAGTTAAACAAATTATAGCTTTGGTTCTACATTCCGACTTTGTTACTACATCCTCAAATGGATGTTAAATTAAGTATTTTAGCAAAATTAAAAAACCTCTCCACTAACTCGTAACGATATTAAGATCTGTTTAATACAGAGTAAAAATAATTTAATATAATAATATTTTATTAAACATATTAATGCTGTAATTTTAATGATTTTTGTATTAGCAAGAAAATTGTTAATTAATGCAATTAATGAAGCATTAATTAATACAGGTTGACAGTTACTAATCTGGTAACACTGAAACCCATAGCATGTCGGATAGCAGATGGTTAGGCTGAAATACACTTAATCCAATAACTAACCACCTCATCCTACCTCTAAAATACCTTATAAATCAGTGAATTAAAAGTTGATTAATAAAGAAGGAACAAAAATTAAATGAAAATTCTCATCAGATCATTATACATCTGGAGATGTTCACTACCCCAAACAGCAGCAGCGGGTTGGTACAGCGACACAGAAAATTTAAAATTACACCAGCCGATATTAGTGCCAGAATTGGATTATTGACTGCAAGATTAGAGATGATTGACCTGATTGCATTAATTGATAATCATATATTAACAAATACAGCAGTTGTAAAGTAGGTAAATATATTTGTAGACAAGTTTCTTATCACAGTCATCCTTGCATTCTTATTTTTATGAATCTTTTTAATGTTTATAAATAATATGTTTTAATGTTTGTACACTAATTCTAAAATCACAAACACTTTTTTCAGCAAAATTATTTTCAAAAGACAAACTATTACTGTAATCTGTGTATTCTGTTTTATTTTAGAGGGTGTTCGAATTTGTTTTACTATATTTTTTCAAACAATTAAATAATTTGAGATTTAAGAATATTTTTAGATACTACGTAATTACCAAATATAGATTCTTTTTTTTTGTAATTATTTATAAATTCTTCATTAAATTTATTAACCTTTAGCTTCAGGAGTATGTATTTCCACGACGCTGGCCGGTGTCAAACTCGAAACAAGTTCTTTATCCGTAATTTCTTCAAACTTAGAGGAATCTTCAACTGCTTCGCTGTAAGTAAATATTATTCACTTTTAGAATTTCTTTGATACCTTAAAAGAAATTTTAATCTTTGTATTGAAACTAAAAATACATAAGAAATTTGTAACATTAATACAAATATTAATTGAGAATCAAAAAATTGCCATCTCATAATAAATTAATATTTAATATTTACATTTGAAAATTCTGGATGAAAAGAATTGACCCAGAATGAGACTCAAATCTGCAACTCCCGTTTATCATGCTGGCACGTTGCCAGTTACGAAATGGCATCTTAATCGCCTAGAGGTAGGCAAAATTTCTTTATAACTAATTATTAATTGTAGCCATAATTGAGCCTGATAAAACATGGCCAATCATTTGGTATAACATTAATATTTTTCTTAAAATATTTTAATTTTTGTGTAAAAATTATTAATAAGTTAAGATTTAGCAAATCAAAAACGGATAAAATTATTAATTATCATTTATATTAAAGTATACGGAATTTTTATTTTTTAAATAATTTATACCTACCTGGATTCTGATATCTGCCTAATAATTGACTTCAACCTGTTCAAGTAAAATATTTCACTCTCCGTTGGCTCAACTTTGTCTCTTTCTACATATAAAATAACAATAATGGATTAAATGACGATATATTTAATTTATTAAAATATAACATAATTAAATTAATACATAATATTTTTTTAAAATATACTTTCTACTTTTATTGAATAGAAAATATTCTAATACCATATTTCCTCAATTCAGAAGTATATTGTAAGTTTGAGAATTAATTTTTAAGATATTTTTATTAAAAAACATTAATTTTAAGTAAACAATTTTACTGAATTTTGTAGAGCTACAAATACTATGCAGCTGCATTTCCATTTTCATCTGCATATAGAGCAAGCTAGATATGTTGCAAGGATATAGAACTACTGAACAACAGGAAAGCTAGATACGATGCATGGAAATACATCTCAGTATATGTACATGGAAACACTGTTCAGCAGCTATATTTCCAAGCCCTTCTTTGTATAAAATAACTAGTCTTTATAATATTGCACCATAATATTGTCTCAAAAGCATTTTAAGCATTAAAATAAGGAGTTTAAATTAAATATTTGTTATCAATGAAGCTGAGAATGTCTATTATTGGTACCTAACACATCACTTGGTCTGCTCACAATGACTGGTGATGATTGTTTTGGGTCGTAAGCATAACTTGCCTTCAACACAAAGATACATCTCTACTTCAGACAAAATAAATAAATAAATAAAATGTATCTTAGAATTAAGGAAATACAGAGAATAAAAATAATAATTGAAATAAAAGCAAAAATTGTAGTTTATTGAAAATAAATGTAACCATTTTAATTTTAATTTATTAAATTTATTAACCTTTAGCTTCAGGAGTATGTATTTCCACGACGCTGGCCGGTGTCAAACTCGAAACAAGTTCTTTATCCGTAATTTCTTCAAACTTAGAGGAATCTTCAACTGCTTCGCTGTAAGTAAATATTATTCACTTTTAGAATTTCTTTGATACCTTAAGAGAAATTTTAATCTTTGTATTGAAACTAAAAATACATAAGAAATTTGTAACATTAATACAAATATTAATTGAGAATCAAAAAATTGCCATCTCATAATAAATTAATATTTAATATTTACATTTGAAAATTCTGGATGAAAAGAATTGACCCAGAATGAGACTCAAATCTGCAACTCCCGTTTATCATGCTGGCACGTTGCCAGTTACGAAATGGCATCTTAATCGCCTAGAGGTAGGCAAAATTTCTTTATAACTAATTATTAATTGTAGCCATAATTGAGCCTGATAAAACATGGCCAATCATTTGGTATAACATTAATATTTTTCTTAAAATATTTTAATTTTTGTGTAAAAATTATTAATAAGTTAAGATTTAGCAAATCAAAAACGGATAAAATTATTAATTATCATTTATATTAAAGTATACGGAATTTTTATTTTTTAAATAATTTATACCTACCTGGATTCTGATATCTGCCTAATAATTGACTTCAACCTGTTCAAGTAAAATATTTCACTCTCCGTTGGCTCAACTTTGTCTCTTTCTACATATAAAATAACAATAATGGATTAAATGACGATATATTTAATTTATTAAAATATAACATAATTAAATTAATACATAATATTTTTTTAAAATATACTTTCTACTTTTATTGAATAGAAAATATTCTAATACCATATTTCCTCAATTCAGAAGTATATTGTAAGTTTGAGAATTAATTTTTAAGATATTTTTATTAAAAAACATTAATTTTAAGTAAACAATTTTACTGAATTTTGTAGAGCTACAAATACTATGCAGCTGCATTTCCATTTTCATCTGCATATAGAGCAAGCTAGATATGTTGCAAGGATATAGAACTACTGAACAACAGGAAAGCTAGATACGATGCATGGAAATACATCTCAGTATATGTACATGGAAACACTGTTCAGCAGCTATATTTCCAAGCCCTTCTTTGTATAAAATAACTAGTCTTTATAATATTGCACCATAATATTGTCTCAAAAGCATTTTAAGCATTAAAATAAGGAGTTTAAATTAAATATTTGTTATCAATGAAGCTGAGAATGTCTATTATTGGTACCTAACACATCACTTGGTCTGCTCACAATGACTGGTGATGATTGTTTTGGGTCGTAAGCATAACTTGCCTTCAACACAAAGATACATCTCTACTTCAGACAAAATAAATAAATAAATAAAATGTATCTTAGAATTAAGGAAATACAGAGAATAAAAATAATAATTGAAATAAAAGCAAAAATTGTAGTTTATTGAAAATAAATGTAACCATTTTAATTTTAATTTATTAAATTTATTAAGAGATGGTACCTAATGCCCACCTCTAGGCCAAATTAATTAACATTTAATTGTTAATAGCAGGGCTGTAGTGTCGCGTAAAAATCTACAGACTCCGACTTTTCCTTACCATCCAACTCCGACTAGGGGCGGATTTGTTACTGAAATAAATCCGGAAATTCTGATGTCATCACATGACCTCAGAATAAAAGATTCAATAAATAGAGTTCTAATAAAGATAGAACGTAGAAACTTTTTATTCCAAAGCTAAAAGACTTCTCTAAGTAATATATAAATATATATTACTTAGAGAATACACATATAAATATGTATTCGATAATTTTTACTTTTCCGGCTGTTATATATAACAGTGGAAAAGTGTAGCGCTTGCTCAAAAAATGACCCCTCCCAAATTTTTACATTTTTGGGCTCAGGACACCTTGAAATTTCGAGATATGCAAAAGATTTGAGGTTTTTTCTATATGTGTGGATGTTAGACTGTGGGGGGGCATGATTTTGTTCACCCTTTTTGAAGCCTAATAATTTCCGTAGTCAGAGTGGTCAGAATCAGAGTGGTCAGAACCTAAAAGTGGTCATGTGTTATGACACATGACCACTTTTAGGTCTTCACCCTGTCGACATTTAATTAAGAACCAAAATTTAATAGTATTAATGCTCCTTTATACACAAGCTACAGTGCCACATTTCATTTCTTAAACTTTACCCATTCTGAGATATTGTTTAATATCTCAGAATAGAAAATAAAGAAATTAAACAAATTAGATGCCAACACACACATGCGCATGTGAATTTTTCCCCTTTACTGACTTTTTTGAGGGGTTCAGGAGGTCTCCAAACGTATAGATTTTCAAAAAAAAAAAA